TGAATCTTAAAATATTTCAATCATAGATAACTGAAACATTGCTTAATTTATTTAAGACAGTTCTGTGAAGTCTTGGAGGTGATTCATCAGGCTTTTTAACTGTGGCCACAAGATTTACAAGCACAAAATAAGTGCTAATGCACCCAGAACAAATACATAGGAAATGTCAGAGAGGAACTTTTTAAAGCATGTTTTTGCCTTTAGAGAGAAATTCAAAATAGGAACGTTTATATTATAATGAAGACAACTTCCTAACACACAAGCTCTTGTATTATCTCCTTTTCACTTTATTTTCAGTTCATTTCACTTATTCATGAGGTTTTTCTGATTTGCAAATTAAAATACAGGACGCCCTGCACAGTATTTTGCATACTTTCACTAACACATTATTTGTTATTTAACACTTAAGATTTATTATTTATCTGAAATTCAAATTTAACGGGGTGTCCTATATTTTACCTGACTACTTACAGGTGAGGAATTCAGTAAGCCATGAATATTTCAAAACTGAAGATTGAGATAGATAGCAGGTTTGTGGGCAGGATGAGGCGTGACCGCTGGGCTGGGGAATGTTACCGTCCCACCTTCTGAGTCAGTGACTGGGAGACAGAAGGGAAAGACCAGAATCTGGAATAAGATGCTGAAAGGTGGTGGGGGGAGAGCATTCCCAGAAAAAAAGGGGACCCCTTTGAAGAGACTGTTGCATAAGCAGAGAGAAATGTGAAATGGAGGCACTGAGGAATTTTAAACCTCCTGTTGATTTTCTCAGATTACTCCCTCTCTGCCCGCAGAATTTGGAATCCCAGGTTACTCGGGGCTCCCTGAGCAATCAGCCCAGCACGAGCGCCGGGCTCCCTCTGGTGGCCACTGTGAGCACCACTCTCCCGGACTCTGCTTAGATTAACCCACAGTTTTTTATCTTCGCTGTCCCCCTTAGGACACTACCCACCAGTCCCCTTCGCTCTTCTTCCTAATTTTTCTGTCCGTTTATTCATTAGGAAGCGTGACACCTTTCAAATGGCCCCAGGACGAGGCCCCAGGACGAGGCTACACAGAGCCGGGCATTGTTGCCCCAGTTCTGGGACCACCCGGGTCGGAAAAGGGGAAGCTCTGGGGGCTCTGAGGCCGGATGAGTGACAGGAGCCTTGGGTCAAGTGCCCAGCGGGCTGCCCGGAAAGAGGCAGTGTGCTTCCGACCCCCAAGCAGATTGTCCCCACAGGGCGCCCCCTCCAGCAGGCAGCGAGCCCTTCCTCCAAGCTTCCTTCAGAACCACGCAATTAACGGCACTAAAATTTCTATTTTCAACGTTATGTGTAGAATAAAGGCATATATAAAAAAAGGATTTAACTAGTAAAATAACATTTTTTTTTTTAAAATTGAAATAGGGACCGTGATGCTGACAGGATGAATATAGGAAGGGAAGGATACAGACCCTAACTTCTGAGAGTCTAGGATTTAAAAATTTTGTTAATTGTACTTAGAAACATTAAAAAAAAAAAAGTTAACCTGAACATTTTTCATAGTTCCATTTGTGAACAAATCTGTGACTACCACATGTAGGAACCAGTGTAGGAATGACCAGCTTCTCACATCTGCACTGTAGGGATCGGGAAATCTAACTTGAGCTGCGGAAGGAAATCCCTCACCACAAGAGAAAGCACTTCCTAGCTGTGGGTTGATCTTTTGTGGCACTTCCCTGAATGCTTCTCAGTGTCCAGAAGGTCCCACAGGCACACAGATGTTGATCCCTTGGGGGCGGGGGTGGGTGTGGGTGTGGCAGGTTTGGTTCCCTCAGGCCAAGTAGCCTCCTTCCTATACCCAAATCGACTATGTGAATATCTTCTATGCCTTGGAAGAAGGTAGGAATGTATTGATCAAATAAAATCATTTGCCATTTCCCTACCATAAGATCCTATAAGGGAAACTGATGGAAATTAGAAGTTTTTCCCTTAAAAAAAAAAAGGCAAATGCATAAAACTTTCTTCACAATTTTAAGGACTATAAACTCATAAAGTCTTCACCATGGATGACCTAGGAGTCCATGAATCCTATTTTAGAGACTTTCCTCTAGGTAGCTGCCCCTGCAGAGGAGGTCAGATTTAAGAGTGTCTATACCCAACTTCAGTCTGGAAATCTCATGATATTGCCTGTCCTTCCTTCCTTCCTCCCTCCCTCCCTCCCTTCCTCTGGGGATTGAACCCAGGGGCACTAAACCGCTGAGCCACATCTCCAGGTCTTTTTAAACGTTTCTTTTTAGAGAGAGGGTTTTGTTACATTGCTTTGGCCTTGATTAATTGCTGAAGCTGGCCTTGAACTTGCGATACCCACTCTCCTGAGCTGCCGGGATTACAGGCGTGTGCCACTGTGCCCCATGGCCTGTCAGTTCTTTACTAAAAAGCATGGAAACGTAGTTGTCCAGAAGTTGTTCTGAATGAATATCACGGCTCACTAGTATCCTGGCTGTTTCAAACACCCCTTCAGATTTTACTTAGTTCTTTTCACAAATGGTACTAGAAATCAGAGAGATGGATCTCCCTAATTTGAAGGCTGAGCAGGATGTCACTTTTTGGGAAGAGCTCCACGGTGGCATTGCACTTTTCTAATCCTAACATGGAAATAATTCCATTTATCTGAGAAATCTGAATCTGACCTGGACAAGTAAGTGCAGGATGTTACAGCAAAGAGTTCCCTTCACCTCCTCTTGTTTCCACCTCCCGCCTTTAGGAGGCGAGCAGGAGAACCTGTTCTTGCTCATTTCCTTGTGGTTGTCTCCTTGGCTGTTTCCATCAAGATTTCACCATGTGGCATCCATACCCAGCACCCCCTGAGCTCACAACAAGTTTCATGAGTGGAAAATTAATTTTCCTTTGGGGAAAAGAATGACAACAACATGCAAAGATATTAATGTAAAACTATTTTTTTTCTTTATTGAAAATACTCCTACAAAGTAATGCTTCCCATTCCATACCGGGTGCATGGATATGCAGAGCCTGTGATGGGCTGGCAAGAGAATCACTCTAGGGGACCTGCTTTCATAAGAAATGGTTAGTATAAAAAACATCACACGGTATAACAGAATTAATCTGACATGATTAATTTTTGCTCTACTGGTGTCATAAGATGACAGCCGTGTACATTAACTTTTGTAGTGTATTTTTCAAATAGAACCTTGACATTAAATGCTTTACTCCACCACAGCCTAATGTTAACTTTTATATGTGCAGAATGCTTGGGATCTCTATAAAAATCTCTAATTGTATATCAGAGGATGTATGTCTAGATTTTCAGTTGGTTAGCGTAATTAAGTCCATTCTTCATCATTTTCTGTTGGAAACTCAAACACAGCTGGTACTGTCTGACAGCTCCCACTGAGTGTCTTTGACTGGATATTCCTTAGGGGGTAAAAATTAATCTCCTCTAAACCTGGGAGCTGCCTTGCCAGAAACTAAAGCTCCTGCTCCCTTTTCTTGCGACCTCATTGACATTATTCACACCGATTCATCTTCTACCATCTCTCCTAGGGACACAAACAAAACTAAAGCAATCCCCACTCCAAGGGGAAAGCTTTGAATGATTTGGCAAGTGCAATCCCAACACAAAGAAGTATCTTGCTTACCTACTTCTAAGAACTTCTGATTAAAATTTTCAGATGAGAGACCACCCAGCTCATGGACCCACACTAATGAGCTCATTTGACTTCTTTAATATTTGTAAGAAGTCACTTTATTTTTTTTTTTTTTTTGTGTATACCCTTCTTTGGGAAATGATTTGGAACTGAAGAGAAAAAAATGTTTCAGGCAAAAAACAAAACAAAAAAAATATCAAAATGAAGCTCTTCTTTTTTATTCTTCCGAAAAGGAAACTACACTCTTGGTGAGTTAAAAATCCTCTTTGTAGTGTCAACCATGCTCCGTCCTTTCCTAGCTCTTTAGTGTTCTTTAGTAAGACCACAAGAACACTGTTGCTAGTAACTACTCTTCTGTTTATGTTCTAAGAGTCTGTTCTGTGGTGGGAGATATCCTTTTCAGTGGAGTCCCTTCTGTTTGGGAAGAGTAGAAGAGAAGGGATACTTCCTCTGTTGGAAAGAACTAAGCAAACGGTTTCATGAATAATCCTACTCCTGGAATGGCCTCCTACCTGGTGACTTGTGTAACTGACATCTTGGACAAAGGACTGGGTGAACCACATGCCATCCTGACCCTACATAGAAATGTTCTCTCCCATGAAGTGTCCTTTCTGAGAGTTCCATGCTCCATGGAATGGAACCTGGTGCAGGATATTCCAAGGGGAAATAGAAGTCAGGTTCTTCCATGATGTCACAGGAGGTGTGGGCTGGAGGAACTGTAAAGGCATCTAGGGGAGTCACCTATTTTATAGGTGAGGACACTTGGCCTTAGAGATGAGCTGTGACTTGCTCAAGGCCACACAGCAACTTCACTTTCTGTTCCTCCTCACAGCTGTGCTCTGTGTGATATAAGTTGTCCTGATACTACTAAAGTGAGGATGCAAGTCAGAAGAGAAAGGGGAAAAGCCCTTCCACTGTCCAAGCCACAACTGATTGCTGCTCCTCAAGTTGTTAACACTTTGAGACTAAAAGTCAAAACGTTTTTTAAAATTTGCAAGTTGACTTAAAATGATTTTAGCTCACTATTTGTTTGATCCCAGTACCTTATTAGGGTACTTCTAGGACAATCACATTTATAGGACGATGTGCCACATTCCTTGGTAAGATCTGATCAAGACTGTTTTTGATCCCAGTACCTTTTTAGGGAAGACAAAGATGAAATGATTTTAAATTTTCAAGTATGGGATGAAAATGAAAATTATTCATTTGGGCCACTGCAAAATCCTCCCTTATTTTTGGATGAATAGTTTCCAATCCTAGCAGAGTAGGGAGGAGAAAGGAGGGAAAGCGCTCACCGTAGACAATGAGCTATGATGAGATGGACATGGTTCTTAACAGTTTGCAAACACCTGATGCTCAAGACAGCATTTCTCGGTGTTAGTCTACATCTTGCTTTCACTGTCGATGGGTTTCTCAGTGTCATTGTCCTGGGCAATCAGCTGGTATGGTTTCTTCATTTCATTCTCTTCGATCACTGAGTTACCCATTTCAACATCTTGGTTCTTCAGCTCATGTCTTGACAAGTGCTCAACAATTCCAGCTCCCAGGGAGTCACCCAGCACGTTGGTGGTGGTCCGGAGGCGGTCCCTGTGGGTGGAGTGGGAAGGAAGGAGAGGAGGCTCCTGTGAGCACCACGAGAGCTCAACTTCTACTGGGAAATCTCCTGGGAAGTCTACAGAAAGCCTCTCTTAAAATCCAGGGGGCGTGTCTACCAACTGCAAGGTCACATTCTGGACATAGTAGCTATAAAAGTTGTAAAAACACATAGACCATCAGTGTCCAGTGACTAGCTGGCTATGGCTACAGTCTCAGCAGTGGGGAAGAACCCCTCTCTTTCTCCTTTTTAAAAATAACTTTTTATTTGTTTCTTCTTCTTTTTTTTAATGTGGTGCTGAGGATCGAACCCAGGTCCTCACTCATGCTAGGCAAGTGCTCTACCACTGAGCCACACAATACCAGCCTCTCTCTTTCTCCTTTTATTTAAAATTTATCTTTCCTCTGATTTACCTTCCATTATGCCAGCAGTTCTCAAAATGTGGCCCTGAGACCCCTGGGGGTCCCCAAGGTCAAAAGTATTCTATAACAACACCAGAATGTGACTTGTCCCTTTCACCAGAATGTGACTTGTCCCTTTCACTCTCACATTCTCATGAATGCGTAGTGGAGTTTTATAGACTACCTGCCATAATGTCAAAACACGCTGGGGGCAGAAGCAGTTGGGATGACTCCAGCTGTCTCATAATAAGACGTTAAGGAGACTTACAAGATGTAAAAATAGGCCCTTCTTCCCACTAAGTTTTTGGGTTGCAAATAGTTGTTTCTCACAAAGAAATGTTATTTATGTTAGTACGTAGTATCATAACTTTCAAATGAATTTAAAAATTTTTAAGTTGTTCTAATATGATAAGAGAGAGCCCACTTAGATAAAAAGGTTGTTTTTTTTTTTTTAACGCAAAAAGTTTTAAGTGTAAAGTTAAGAAACTCTGAGCACAGTAGCCTCATGCTACAAAAGTGCTGGAGTGACTGAGTGCTGACCAAAAGCCAGAGTGAGGCTGCAGGCTTCCTATGCACCAGTGCATTCAGTCCTCCCAGTACCAGCAGGAGGTGGAGGACATGAGCACCATGTTTTACAGAGGTGGAGACGAGGGGGTTTGGGTAGCCTGCCAGACAGGGCCAGGACATGATCCAAGTGACTAAGGAACTAGTGAATTCAGCATTTTTCACTCTAGTACTCCTCTGTGTTCTTATAGGTATTCACTTTGGGTATCCAAAGGACAAATTTTTCAAAAATGGAAGGGGACTTATGAGCAACAAGGGGCCGAGAAGTAAGCGGGAATGGTAAGGAAGAGGGCACAGGGATGGGCCCTGGTGGTTAGGGTCTGAGGGTTATGGAGGGTACATTGCTTGGAACTTTCCCCAGAAACCAATTTCAATCCCATGAAGTGACACTAGTTCCATTTCCCACTATCTTCATGGCCACCCCTTGTTTTGGGGGACTCAGATGCAGACAGCTGCATTATATTACACCATTGGAATGGAAAGCACAAGGAGGAAGGGCCTGAACCAGTGTGTGGGGCCTGCAGTTTTGTTCCAGTCACTGTGAGGACGTGTTGTGCAATTCAGAAAGGGCCTTGCTGATTTATGTTGGCTTTGCAAACAGCAGGTTTCCCAACTCTGAATGACTTTATGGAGTGAGAAGCACAGCAGCCAGATGCGCCCCACAGTCTGATAGGGGAGTCAGTGCACATGACATCTTGGCTGGGTGTCCAGATCACAGCCAGGGATCAGGCAATGAGGACAGTTTGATTCCAGGCCAAACTGCCCCCTTCCTCCGAGTTCTTTTGACAGGTGTGCCAAGCTACTTAGCACCCTCAAAGAGTGGTGGTGGTGGTGGTGGTGGTGGGGGCCCTGCAACATGACCTGGAACTCAGTGGACAGGTACTCACAGGAACCAGTCCACTGCGATGATGAGTGTGATGTCGTCAGTGGGCAGGCCCACAGATGTCAGTACAATGACCATCGTGACCAGGCCAGCCTGAGGAATCCCAGCCGCCCCGATGCTCGCAGCTGTGGCTGTGATGCTGTAGAAAGAAAAATTGAAACAGAAAACATTTTTTTTTCTTTTCTTTTCTTTTTTTTTACAAATCTCTCTCAGTTGAGAGTACCCTGCAAAACTCATGGTGCCGGTGCACGATTTGTCATGTTAAAAGCCGAGGATATGCTTCAGAAAAATGGAAATGTGTCTAAAAAAGAGTCAATAAGCTAATGATTGTACCGACATTTATCATGTGTTTGCCATGTGTCGCCATATGGTAAGATGGCTTATCTCATTTGGTCCTCACAACAACCCCCCTGAAGTTGGTCCTACTATTACAGCCATTTTTAAATGGAGATACTAGTGGCTATGTTCTTTTCATGTCCTTACAAGAGTTTGTAAGGTATAAAATGCTATAGAATTATAGTACTAATTTGGTACTAATAAGTCCCCAACCCAAGTGGAGGGGCGTTCAAAGAGTGAACTTGAATGATTAGTGTGGTCAGAAAGAAGATGAAATTTACCAATTCAAAAGCAAAGTGGGTGGTGAACTAAGTTCTGTAGCACTGTACTTTTATTGTGTGTGGTGTCAGTGTGAACCTGCCAAGTGTGTTACCCGTCTGAGACTCAGTCTGTCAAATGTCTATTTGAAGAGTGATGTGAGAATGTGATAACATAGTAAACATTACCTTATATCTAAAATGGTAGTAATAAAGTAATAAGACTGTGGCAGAAAATAATCACGGTTCCCTGTACTGTCTCCTTTCTATGGTTCTAGATGTTTTGGCTGGTTTATGGACAACCAGAATGAAGACTACGCTTCCAGCCTCCCATGGACCTGAGGCCAAGTGGAAATGATGGATCAACTTAGAGGCTGGGCTACTTCTCCACTTCCCATTGGTTAAAGTTTGGAGGTGGAGATGAGCCTTCCTAGACCACCTAGACAAGGGTAACACCCTAAGTACTTTGGCACCAAGCCTTGGTCCCTTACTCTGTAGAACACCTACCAGCCATAAGGGTTTTGTGGAGCACAGCTGAAAGAGAAATGCATTTCTGTCTTGTTTAAGTCACGGGTACTGTTGTCATTATTTTTAACTCTCACACATGCACTGAACCTTTTTTCCTAACTTGGAACCATTTAACCAACATGCCAAGGTATATTCAAGAATAGGTATTACGGTTTGGATCTAGAATTCAAGAATAAGTGCTATGGTTTGGATCCATGGTTAGTCCCCAAAGGCTCATGTGCTGAAGGCCTGGTCCCTAGTGCTGCAATGTTTAGAAACGGGGCCTTCAGGAGGTGATAGGACCACAGGCTCTGACCTCATCAGTGTGTTCATCCATTAATGGATTCCTAAGCTGAAGTCATTATTGGGAGGTGGTGGAAACCCACAGGGTAGGGTCTAGTGGGTGGAAGCAAGTCACTGGGGACATGTCCTGGAAGGGTGTATTTTTTCCCCAGCCACTTTCTCTCTCTGCTCTCCTGCTGCCATAAGGTGAACAGCTTTCCTATTCCACACCCTCCCCACCATAATGTTCTGCCTCAGCAGGACCAGAAATAATGGAGCCAGTGACCGTGAACTGAAACCCTGAAACCCTGAGCCAGAATAAATCTTTCCTCCCTGAGGTTGATTTTCTTAGCTATTTTGTCACAGTGATGAAATACTGACTAACACAGTGGGTTAAGGTACGTTGAGATGCTGATCTGCCACCCTCAGTGTAGCTAGACTGGGCCTGGAGCTCCCAGAACCCCAAGGTCAGTCAATGACCTCTGGTTGCCTCCTTTTATTTCCAATTCACCTTACAACAATTCTTCTCTAATGGCATAAACATTTATACAGAGTCTAACATAACATTTTTAAATAAACATAACACTAATGTGGGGTTACTGATAATAGATTAAAAGAGAACATAAAACCAAATGCAGGGCATAAATCTGTATTTAATCTTGGTCTGGGAGAAAAAAGCTATAAAAGGTAATTGGGGAAATCTGAAGCTAGACTGGGTATTCAGGAAGTACTTTTAAGATTCTTACTACTGTGGTGACGTAGAAGAATATCCTTATTTTTAGTTCAATAGTTCCAAGTTAGGAGATACATGACAAATGATATACAGGTGAAATGTTATCATGATAGAGAGAGAGAAGCAGCAAAATGTTACAAAATGTCACAAAACTCTTACAAGCAGCAAAGTGTCTAAAAACAATTTTTAGATCTAAGTAAAGGATGCTTGTCTTGACTTTTCTATACGTAGGGAAACTTTCATAATAAAAAGCTATGAAAGGAAAAGCAAAAAGCTGACCTATTTTGATTTTCAAACATATCGTTAATAATAATTAAAGCCAAACTCCGTAACAATGAAAAGCAGAAGCCAACTTGGATTAGGAGGCTTAAAGCCCCCTGTTGCCATTAGATTTATAAATCCCTTCTGCCTAGTAACTTCCAGTAGGCCAAAGGGGGAGAGAGTAGTATTTGCATATATACACAGAGAAGCATGGGCTGTCTTTGGAAGGGTGCAGGGGAAACTGGCAAGTTATAGTGGTTGCCTCTGTGGAAGGAAACCAAGATTGGGGGAAGGTATGGAAAGAAAATTACCTTTCATGAGACAACTCAAATATAATAGTTAAAAATATTCTCCACAAAAATAAAATTCTCAAATCTTACGTGTCAGCATGATCTGTCATCTATTTTATACGACCTGAAAACTAACCCCAGAGAAAAAACACAATCCAGTTTTACTGGTGTATTTTTCATTTTCTAATATTGTCTATAATAACCAAAACATTAATGCTTTTTAAAGCTGAAGTAAAATTTGAGACTTTTAAAAAAGAGAAATATCCATACTATGTCTTCCATAGACATTAAAAAGAATGAGCTAGATACATTTATAAATGGCATATTGATAAGCAAACCAATCAAGGGGCACACAGTATATGTGATATGATTAATTACAAAAAAGAAGTGTGAGTGTGTCTATGCAAAGAAAAAGTTCTTTTCAAACTGAACATGAATAATGGTTACTTACAGAAAGATGTGGAATGATATGGTGGTGGGTATATGCTTTACTTTTTAGTTTCTATACTTCTATACTATTTACTTTGTTATTAATGAGGGCACATATCTGTAATAAAATGCTAATAAGATATCTAAATCTAAAAACAAAACTAGTCTTCCAATCTCCAACCTCCGATACATGTGGGATCTTCTTCCCAACCGGTTTCCTCAACCAACCTTCATCACCTTGTCATCTGCTAAAGTCCTTCTTTTTGTTTGTTTTGGTTTTGCTTTTTGGTACAGGGGATTTATTCAGTGGTGTTTACAGGGAGTGGAGGGGTGCTTTACCACTGAGTTACATCCCCAGCCCTTTTGTAATATTTCTCATTTTGAGATAGGGTCTTAGCTCCCAGGCTGGCCTTGAACTTGTGATCTTCCTGCCTTAGCTTTCAGGGTAGTTGGAATTACAGGGATGTGTCACCACATCTGGCTTAGTGTTATGACTTGCATATGAAGTGTACTCCCCAAATTCCTGTGTTAATGTAGGAATGTCTGGAGATGAAATGATTGGATTGTGAGAGTTGGAACTTCATCAGTTCATCTCAGTTTGAAGAGAGGAGGTGGTAACTGCAGGCAGGTGAGGTGTGGCTAGAGGAGATGGGTCACTGGGGGTGTGCCCTGGAATGGTTCATCTGTCCTGTAGCCCCTACCTCCTGCTCTGTCTCTCTGCTTCCCAGCTGCCATAATGTGAGCAGCAGCCCTCCACCATACATTTACATCATAATGTTGCACCTCATCTTGAGCCCAGACCAATGGATTTGGATGACCATGGACTAAACCTCTGAAACTGTGAGCCAAAATAAACTTTTTCCTCCCTAAGTTGTTCTCATCAGGTGTTTGCTCATAGCAACACAAAGTCAACACACTTGGTAAAGTCATTCTCAAAGAACATGTTGTGTAGAACTCTCCCTGTACCTGATTGTAATAATCTGTCCAAAGTTCAGGTCAAAGTTGTTAACTTGAGCGATGAAAATAGCAGCCAAAGCTTCATAGAGGGCGGTCCCGTCCATGTTAATGGTGGCCCCCACAGGGAGCACGAATCTGGTGATGCGTTTGTCCACACCATTGTTCTCTTCCAGGCACTTGAAGGTGATGGGCAGGGTGGCAGAACTGAGAACAGGACAAAGAGCATGTCAGCTGAGGGTTCTGGTACTTCTGAGTAAGTCTGTGTTTGGTCTTTTGGACAGACAGTTCCTTCCTCTCCCATGTCCTAACTTAAAGGGAACTAAGTCAGCACTTGTGTAAATAAGGGAGAGAGGTTAGGAACAGTGTGGCCCCTCATGGGATCACTTGGCAGCTCTCCTGCTTCTGGGTTCCTCTGCGATATCACTTCTGATTATCCCCCATCCCAGCAGCCTGGGCCAGGTCATTCTGCCATTTCTCTCTTAGGCAGATGTCAGCTGGAGAAGGGGATGACTATAAAGAGGAAAGGAAAGTTGACTTCCATTTTGTCCCCCCCAAAGTATATATAGCTAGCTAGTCCCTGAATCCCAAATGGATGCGATCAGCATCGGAGGTGAAAGGGCCTATTTCTTGTTCCTGAAGTTTAAAACTCAGAACAAAATGCCTCCACCTGCCTGCGACCCGAGGGGCCCAGGTTCAAGGTAAAGTTTCAGACACATTTTCTCAGAGGGGTAAGCCATGCACCTTGAAGAGGTTCCCAGAGCTGTGATGAGTGCCTGCAGCAACCCTCCAATGAAAACCCAAGGGTTCTTCCGGGTGACCAGGAAGTAGAGGAGAGGCAGGACGATGACGGCATGAATGAGCAGGCCGACGATGACGGTCACCGTATACATGGCCAGCTGCCCCCCGATCACCCCCATGTCTTCCATCTCCACAATCTTCCCTGCGATCAGGAAGAGGATACCCAGGGGGGCGTACCTGTGGGGAAGCGACACAAGACACCTGGAAGTCTAGTTTCCAACAAGTGGTGAGACAGAGGGAAAGAGGGTGGATTTCCAAACTTTTCTTCCAGGATGCTATTAGGACTTTGTAGAAAGTGAGTTTCCTTCTTTTCTTTTTTAGTTATAAATTCCCCCGAATATTGCTGAATCAGTCTTTCCTCTCACTTAGAATTGTTCAACATTTCTCCTTATACTGTACCTGGTCTTCAGATGCCACCCCCTCCCCTTGCCCCCAACCTCTGCTAAGTGCCAGGACTGCCACAACCCACTGTACTTAGATCCAGACTTTGAAGCATTTTTCACATCATAACCCGCACCCCAAAGTAAGGCAAGAGTCACACAATACCATGCTGGTGTTTCAGATTTGCCTTCAGCCCTTTATTCCAGGGCATTGATGATTTTTTTTTTTTCCAAATTTACATGCTACTTAGAATATTACTTAAGATTTTTCTTCAAATCATCTTTTTACTTAAGTAAACTTAAGAGAAAATTTTGTGTTATAGTGCAAATGGCAAAAAACTAGTACCATAAATAGGAGATCATTAAATAATTTCAGAACTATTAAAATTAATAAGGTGTATGTATGTACCACCACAATCAGCTTATAGGTGTTCTGAGTAAGTAACTATTACCCACAGGCTGTTACTGCCATTTGTGAGCTTTCCGATGCAGACGATGAGAGAAAAAAACAACTGACCACAAAATGACTTGTGGCACTGAAATAACCCTGGTTGCTCAAAGGCCCCACTGCCTGGTTTCCAACTCCCTTTGTATGATGTAAACTCACGTTACTAAAAACAGAGACGCCAATCACCCTTAAGGAGAAAGGTCTGCTGGGAACTGCGGAAGACTTATTGCAAACTGAAAAGCACAATGCTTCTTTCAAATGTCCTTTAAAAATACAGGCCAGGAAATCACAAGAGTACCTGTTTTCAGAAATGCAATAACTCAATGTTGAATGTGTAGTCAAACATACAGCTAGAAAAACTGCATGTGAGGTTCATTCAGTGACCTTGAAAGGGCTTCTTTCATACAAGAGGTGAAAGGTGGAGGCATTTTAATAATATGAAGATAAATGTCCACTTTCAGCCCTGCCAGGATTTCAAAGGAGCCTTCCAATCGGAGGCTCCTGTGGAGACCACATTCTGATCCCTCTTTGTGCACAAGTTCATATCTATCTTGTGCAAACTTCTAAAAAGTGGATTTCTCTGAGCATTGGTGGTATTAAAGACAAAGGACATTTTTAATCATGTTGGTGAGCGAGTGCTTTTCTTAGCAAATAGATGCCTTCCTGCCTCAGGTGCTAAGGAGGAGTCTAGATGTTAAAAATACAGGATAAAAGATAAGCAGCCTCCACATGAGGCCTAAACCAAGCAAAGATTCCCTCCCTGCTGGGCAAAGTTTACTTCCCGAGGTCAATGTTCCATTTTGGAATCAGTCTTTCCTTTTGTCTTCTGCTCTTGGATTCATTAAAGGAAGTCTTGTTATTGTGTCCTAGTGTCCCATGATTCTTCCCGAGTCCTTCTACACATTGCGGCAGAGCTGACGTGTATGTTTCTTGAGGCTCAAATAGAGAGAGAAGTCCTCAATTTTTCTGATGTTCTGGGGCCTCTGTGTGCCCTTCCCTCTACTGGGACTGCTCTTCTCCTGCCACCGTGTGACTGTTTTCTCCAGGTCATCCATGTCTTAGAAAACAGTGCCACCTCAGAAGCCTTTCTATACCCTCCAAGGCAATTTCATGCCTTCTCCCGGTCACCTGCTGTCTTATGTAAGTTTTTCACAGCACTTGTGACTAAAGCATATGGTTAATTTATTTGCATATTTGTTGTTTGTCTCTCTTAAAAGCATGACAAGATCCAGGCAATCCTCCTAGGTTCTCTTCATTGCTGTATCCACAATGCCTGGCATTCCATGCTTGTAATATATAGATACTCAATAAATATGTCTGAAATGAATGAATGAGTAGATGGAAAGTGAGGAATGAGGAATTGGATTCCATAAGCACTAGGATACAAAGAAATTAACACCTTTTGAAAACAAGGAAGTAAACTTATTAAGAGAGACTTGCAGATAGGTTTTAGGCCTCTATGGGCCCAGAAATGCATTACTTTTCTTGTGCTTATCAGAGTGAGATCAATTGCAATTGGCCATCTGGCCTGGTAGCATCTTCTGCAGTACAGAACACATGTTGATGGCAATAAGCATCTTGTATATAGCTTTACAGCAAAGGGAAATACATACCACATTATCACTGCTACCAATCTCATGATGGCTTCGTTAAGAGAATCAAAGAAGTCTCTCAGGGCTTGCCCCTGTTCCTTCATGTTTCCAATCACAAAACCGAAACACATGGAGAAGACAACTAGCCCCAGGGCATTGACCCCATTCACAGATCCTGGAACTGGGACCATCTCCTCTGTGATCCGGGAAAGGGTCTCCATGGCCTCTGACACATTGTTTATCACGGCACTCACAAGGCTTTCGTTGGACGGAATGGGCACTTTAAAGCTTCTCTTCTCATAGTTGGTTTTAAACTTAAAAAATAAAAAAAAAAACACAACACGAATTAAAAGAGATTTTCATTTTTTAATGATTTGCTGTTGTTCAAATTTTCTATGATGATATAAATTGCTTTATTTTAAGAACATAATGTTATAGAAAGTATCTGATTATCTATCCATCTATTTATTCATCCATCCATCTATCACCTCTATGTGGCAAACCCCTATTCCTCAACACACATGGCACATGTGCACACAAACAAATACACATAAATCACAACACACACTCAAATACATAAAAAATCATGACAGAGAAGAGATAACTGGGTAAATAAATAGTTGAACCAAACACACACATGTGCTTTTGCTTTCTTCTGACACCCTAATAAAAAGACAATAATGGGATTTTTAAAAGCCATAAAACTCAAATATTCACAATAGTCCTTTTACTTCCTGTGGGGATCGTGCTATGGGACCATGAACAAATCACCTAACACCTTTTCTCTCCTATTCCATAGCTGTCAAACAGGGATAACTGTGCTGGTTCTACCTCACAGGGCTGTTGCAATGGTCAAATGAATCATAACATGAGAACATTTTGTAAATTTTAAAGAACTAGGCTAAGGTTGGCTCAGTGACAAAGCCTTTCAGGAATTAGACTCAGCTGGGGATTTCAGTGGACATTAAAAATGAAAAATCTAAAAACACCACTGTTTAAATAATTCCTGATATTATCAGTTCTTAAGAAGAGGTGCCTGGTGAATAGTTGGTGTCGTAATCTTCCAGTCTGGGTCTCCAAGTTCATGGTGGTATTTCTCTTCTAACTCAAGCGATGGCCTTTCCTGATAGCTTCAACATAAATGTGCCAAGCGGGAGATGCTGACAACTTTGCGGTGGCCACATGAAACAATGAAGCCCAACCTTCTATGGTATTAATGAGAGTGAGATTCCTGACCTTGACAGTGATGGTAGCAAAGCATCAGTAAGAGTAATAACACATGAATGTTGACTGGATCTAGAGCCTAGGGAAAGCGTGGCCAGACAGGAAGTGCTTGGCCATTTCTTTGTCAAAAGTACGTGGGAGACTTTCTGGTCCATTGGGAAACCATTATTCCCCAAAAAGGACATGGCTGCTGTCAATTCTGGGGATGCATCCCTGAACAACCAGTGGTACTGCTGGGAGTTTCAAGCAACAAAGGACATCCTGTTCTAGCCAACTCTCAAATATCTTCACACTGTTGGGTGCTTATGCATTTTACAGATTGTCCATGGTAGATTTTCAATTCTGATCAGCTTTTTCTATGATTCCAACTCTTTCTCCTTAGACACAGTTTGCAGCCTACTCAGAAACTGTGACCTCATTTGCATTCTGGTCTAAGCCAAATAGATCTGGGGAGATATATTTGCTTCCCCTTCAAAATCCTGTAAATGCAATTCCAAACCAAATACAATAAATGTTCATGAATCAGCACTTTTCCCATCTGAAAGATCTGGAAATCAGCATTTTGATATCACCCAGTGCCAGCTGACTAACTAGAATAGTCAGCTCCGTGGTGCTAGGGTTGGCTGGTTGTATTGAAAGGGGTTTGTTATTTATGGTTATAGTTGCTTTTGAACAAAGAAAGTTGGATTTTTGGCCTCTCTCTATTTTTTTTTTAAAAGGAAAGATTCTGTTGAAAATTTGCAAGTGTGTGCATGCATGACCTATTAAAAATAGTCTCGATAAAAATTTTAAAAGGGAAAAAACAAAGGGGAACTTAAATGTGTAAAACTTAGTTCTCCCTGAGGTCAGGGTTTTGTTTTGCTGGTTTTATAGATCCCAAGCAGAAAGGTTAGGGAATTACAACAGAGGTGAATCGACACCATCTGGAGAAGTGTTTGCAACTATTATTTAATCCAGAATGTCTGTTTCCCTTTTCATATTTTGAGCAACAAAGCTTTTATACTCAAGTGAGCTTAAAATGAGCTTTTCTGATTTTCATTCCCTAGTAGTAAAATGTATCAATATCTACAATGCAGAAGACTAAGAGTTGCTTGGATGTGAGGCTAGAAGGAACAGAATCTCACTACAGCCTTCAGGTAGGTGTCTGATCACCCTAAATACTGCTTTTTTAGGAAACAGAATGGAATATCAGGAAGATAAGATAATTGTTGTCACCACAATGGATCTGAATTCTGTGTCTGCCATTTATTACCTGTGGGAACTGGTGAATGTTATACAACCCCCCCTCCCCTCCGTTGTTATAAATGAGTGGCCTCTTCAGTAAAAGGAAGACAGAGATGCTCACCATATTTTCGTGAGGGCTAAATATAACATTAGTACTTGGCATACAGCAGGCATTCAAAAAATGATACCAGTCCTTTCTGATATGGTTCTGTTTTAGAATCCCTAAGGCCTTTAGTAGTGATAAACAGTCCAATGATTTTAAAATCAAACCCAGAAACTACAGTAGTCTCTTTAATCTTTAAAGCAAGTTATTAATTCAGTTTATATTGGAGTTTGCTTGCTTCATGGACTTTCACATATGGGAGATGTGGGACAGGGAAAGGAAAGGGGCCACTTGATTAGCCCTCTTAACAATAATAAGGACTCAATGTGCTATCTGTGTGTAGACACACAGTGCTTGGTAAATGGCAAGACTTCAAATACAAGGTAAGAACCATTTCTTGGCCCAGATTTTCTAGAAAACACTGGTGCTTTCCATCTGGTTGGCAAGAGAAATTTTCTTATTATGGAGAAATGAGGTTTGGGGAATAGAGGGTCCCACTTGGTATGGTATGCCAAAGAGGAATTTCAAGGGTGAATTAGTGGCTATAGAGTGTTTACCTGTTTAAAGCAGGCTTCCACCAGATTTGGAGGGAACATATTCCTGCAAAGAAAATAGCAAGCAATTGAAAAATTTCCCATAGTAAGTTTGCTCCTTAGATAGTTTCATTGTGTTGAAAGTAGAGATTTCATTGAACCATGCAGCAAATGAAGAAAGAGAAATTTTGGTGAATTTTATGACTTGAAATGAAGCATATGGTTATCCCTAAGAGTGGCCCATGTAATTCATATTTTTCAGAAAGTACCACATTCACCTTGACTGTCAGCTATTGGGGTTCTTTGTTCAGCCACTATGCCATCGAAACCCTGCTCCAAGGGAGAATCAAAATGAGAATGGAAAACCTTTAATCATTAGCAGCATCGCTGACTGAGGTATTATTTAGTAGTGGTTATTTGGGTTATTGTTCCATGTGTCTAGCCCTGAATCCAAAGTTCATGGTTAGACTGTGAAATTTTGTTCTCCAGAAAAACCTCTCAAAGGCTATTGGGGGATGGAACATTGGCAATGAATCCCTGGAGGCTCTTTGGTGGTCAATGGAAGACGGTGCACAAAATCCGAACTTGAGGCTTATGTGGCAGGGTTTGTCACTTTCTCAGAGACTGTCAGAGCAGTTGTTTGAGTTCACTGTCAGGGAGGGGCAACATTCTGGCTACCCAGTGTGACACTGGACAAGGCATGGCACCCATTTGTGTCCTAGCTGACTCATCTGTTAAAGAGAAGATTAGATTAGACCCTCATTGGCAGAAAACATGACCCAGGCAGTTAGATGGGCTCAAAATTCCAAAACTTGGGGCTGGGGTTGTAGCTCAGTGGTAGAGTGCTTGCCTAGCATGTGTGAGGCACTGGGTTCAATTCTCAGCACCACATATAAATAAATAAATAAATAAATAAATGTCCATTGACAACTTAAAAAAAAAAAAAAGGATCCAGAAGTTGTATGTATCACAGCCCTACATTGGGTTATAAACTTGTTTCCTTTTCCTTCATATCTATGCTCCTTGTATTTGCTTCTATAACCTTGATAGAAGTTTGTGTAGAGGAGATGCCAGGATAAAGGCTCAAGCCAAGTGACTGGGTGGAGGCTGGATATTCATACACTTGTCACTAAGGCAAAAGGGGCCAGGAATTCACAGTGCTCTGATGGACCAACCATATTGGGGTTTGCAAGAGCCAACTCTTCAAATCAGGGTAGAAATTACAGGAAAAGAGAGTGTGATGAAATACCTCTGATCCAAACTACCTGAGGTCAAGTTCATGGAAACACAGTGAAAAGCTTTAATTAACTTTATGAACTAAATAAAAACATAGTTATTGGTTTGAAATAATATGATAGGGTGGCTTGTTAATTTCTGATCATTGTGATTAACTCCCTGAAAAGGGCTTTCAAGAATGGGCCTCAAGGGCTGGCAGGGCTTACATATAGATGGTGCCAAGTTACCCACAGTGGGAATTGGGGGGTGCTGCTTAGGAGACCCTCATTCCCCAAATCTCTTTTGGACTCTAGCTGCCATAGACCTGCTCCTTGAGATGACATACAAAATCAATCCCTTGGGGGAGCTTCCTTCAGATGATCAAAGGGAGTCCTTCAGAGTGTGTATCTAGGACAGGCAACCTAGCCACTGCGCAGGTGAGTTGTGAAGAAGGGAAGAGAAGGTTAGATTTGGGGAACACAGTTTGGATGAGGCTACTTGGTGGGGGAATGCAAAGCAGATGGGGGATGTCGAGGCCTCTGCTGGGAAGTCATCCATCTGCCCTTCCAGACCCATTCTCTATTCTTCTCTGTGCCACTGGGCCATGGCATAATGATTCTTTAGCCTTCTGGTTGCCCACTGGGTGTGTCTAGTGGAATCACTGGTAGGTCACAGGGTAGAGAGAGAAAGTGGCCCATGTATATATTCTCCCAGCTCTCTCTTTGATGGGTTTGGTGGCAGCTCCTTTCCTTCAAATAAGCTAGAGCTTCGATCCGAGGCCCCCCGTCCCAGGGCTACAGCTTTTTCTGGGTTCCAGTAACAGCTCCCTTCCTTTGTCTATTCATAGCCAGGATGGTAACAAAGCAGCTTCCTACTATCAGTCCTCTGGTGCCCAGCATCCCTTGGAGGTTCCCTTAACCCTGCTTGTACTTTGCAAACCCTCTTTAATGGTCCTTTTGAGTATAGTGTATGCTTCTTGCTAGGACCTGACTGATCACAGGGCAGGTGTACATGAGAGAAAGCAGGAAGGCACTAGGATCAACCTCTGGCTTGCTTTACCTTTCTGTGAAAGGTGAACTATTACCAAGTCTGCTTTGAGTATTAGCTAAGACTTGCTTGTAATCAGCTACCCTTTAATGTTTTATTATTGATCTGCCAAATTCTTTCTTCATAAATAGTACAAGAGGAAAAACTTGGGAAGGCAGTGACCAGACAATCTCTAAAGTCCCTTCTGGAACTATATTGTAATGTATAATGAACAATGAAACAGATCACTAGTTCTAAGTTAGAAGTCCAATGATTAGCCTAAAAACCAGCCTGAAAGAATAAGACTTCTGGAAAGTAAATTACTAATATTCCAAGGTGAACTTCACAGTGGAGAGAACTTAGTGATAAGATTCTGAATCCTAAAAGCAGGACTCTCAAAATCTATCCCTTCTCCCTACTCATCTTACATCTTTTATATGAGCTCAAAAATTAGATTCTTAGTTCAGTTTCTGTTAAAAAAAGAAGTAAAGACGTGAGTTTTGTTCCAGGCTTGGTAAGGCTGGTTCAGTAAGACACCTCTCTCAGGGTTTGATTCTCTTCCCCAAATAAGGGAGGCTAGTGGTCAGCATATACCCCAAAGGATGGGCCTGCAAGGACGTACCTGATTAGATCCAGGAAGGCATCTGCAGCGGTCACTTGTACAATTTTGCCTTCTCTGTGCATGTTTTCCTTTGTGCCCTTCCCAGGGTGGATGATGATGACAATGATTATGCCAATCACCACAGCAATGATGGTGGTCGTCATGTAATAGACTACAGCTCGCATGCCCATCTTCCCTGATGCCTTACTATCTAGGGCCGCCATTCCTGGGGAAGGCAAACAGAAGGAGAATTTCAGGAGTCAGATGAAGGAATTCTGCAGTGGAAGACAATGGAAACCGCATTTCCTTCTGTACTCCCCTTCACTCGTCCCACCCGGCAGTGTGTGATAGGAGAACTTGGCCCCACATTGAATCAGAGGATCCCAAAAAGGGAAGGGAAAAGCCGTACGATGGCTGAATATCAGTGAACATGTGATCACCCATTTTCTGCCCCAAGAGTTGATTCCACTTGGCCAAATAAGACCTGCTCTGATGGTTTGAAAGTGCAAGTCATTTCTTCCCCTGGTTACTACTGGTTGAGGAGCCTACAGGAGGAATTGTGAGTAGTGTGTGTGTACGTATACAGAAATAATAATAAAAAAATTTCCAGTAGGATGATCTAAATTTACTTCAATTTCAAGTATGTGGTGATTTACAGTGACTAACTGCCATTAGATTCTTTCCAAAGAGTGACGATTTATTAATGCTTTGGGGGAATATATATTTTATATGGTGTATTTTATGTAACACTGAAGTTATTATTCCCATCACCTGTAGATCTATCTTCAATTTGCATTTTAGGTAAACACTTGTCCTAAAGTCAAAATTCTCATCCAGTTTCTCTGCTGGTTCATCTCATCTCATCAAATAAAAAAAAAATTATTTTGGTGGCATTCTTCACATTCCTGCCCTGTTTTCCTCTCCTTGCCCCAGAAGGTCTAGGATATGTCATTGTGAGTTAAAATACCCCTTCCCCTCATTTTCAAGACATCTTCAGAGTCAACTTGAGAGAAATTTTCATCTTGCTAAAAAAGAGGCATGACTTTGAAGGTGGCTGGGTAGCACTAGCTAGTAGGACACAAATCAGTGCTTTTTGGGCTGGAAAATAGTTGGAAAGGACACAAAATTCTCAAAAGACTAAATCGTCTCTAATATGGGCTCCTCCATATCATTTGCTGCTTCCTTACTTTTCTTCTTTCTTTATCCTCCCTGATTCCTCTGTAACACTAAAATCCTATTATATCCTATTCCAATTAGAATTCATCAGACTCTAGGAAATAAAATGTGTAGGTTTAAAATTTAAAAAAAAAAAAGACTATTTTCTTTACTATTTATAATGATGTTTCCATAATGTATTCAAGATTATTTTAAATGCATTTAAATGACAGATATCAGATTCTAATGTTGGTTCAATATTTAGGTAGTGACCATGTCCACATAAACATACTTAGAACAATGTGAAGCATTAAAACAAACAAACAAACGAACAAACAAAAAAATATCCACGATGGCCAGGTAACTGGTTGGGTTTGTCAAAAAATGATACTGAAGATATAAAGGTAAAAAAAAATGAAGCCATGACTTTCAATTTACAATTCCATTTGTATTCAAGTCATACAATCTGTAATCTTCATAATAAGCATATACTTAGTATCTGGTATGTTCTTATTTTTAACAACAACCTATATAGCAGATTTTTTTTTTAAAAAATTAAGCCTAAGACTAAGGTTTTAGAATCAAGTTTAATGGAGTAGAAACTTGAACTCAGAGTTTATGTAACTAAATTTACTGAATGTTCTGCTTCTGAGAAAACCAATTACAGCTCCCACAAATGAGGAGGCCAACTTGGCTTTAGTGTATGAACATAACCTCCTTTGTCCTTGCCCACTTTCTTGAAACCCAGGGCTAAGTGTCTAGTTATTGAGATGGCACCACTTCAGTAATGAACTACATTATAAATGGGCTAATCTGTTCTCAGCTGAGGTGTCCCCTCCCATCACTTCCATTCTCAGATCCAAATCCTTTGAAAAGATCTTGATTTTCTGTGCTTATGATGATTTATCCTTCCCATGATTGCCTGAACCAGTCACCACTGAAGCCTGCAATTCTTCTGGCTCTTTCCCTCCTGACCCAGGAGTGGTGGAAGCACATTAGGCCGGATATCTCTGCTAGGAGGTACTGGGCCACAGTTTTCTTCCTCTGAGATGCTTTCCTTCCCTCCTCCCATTCTGTGGCACTGCTCCGTACTCATGCCAGCTCTTCTCTGACGCTCCTGTCACTAGTTTTGACCTATAGCTATCAGAGACAATGCTAAATGATCAAGAGGGCACTGGGGAACAAAGTGGGAGACAAAGAGGTTCCATCTCCCCCCAACTCCCTGGGGAGACAGACAGGGAAAGTTATCCCAGTATCCACAGCTGTTGGGCTATCAACTCTAGGAAATAAAATGTGTAGGCTTTACATTTTTTAAAAAATGAAAACCAATACTGAAGTATTTTCTCCATACTTTCTATCCTGAAAAAGCTGAAGACAACCAGCACAAGACATTCTCTTAGCCATGAGCACAGAAGGAGAACCAAGAGTAACTTGAGAGGCCTCATCTACTTCAGCATGTTTGTCTTTTCTTTCTGAAAGAGAATAAGACCACAGTGGCTATTGTTTTAGCTAAGGAAGAGCAGCGGTGGGTATCTCCATGAAGGTCTTTGTCCTAAAGGGGGCTGAGTCCCACACAGGATACTTGCACACCTTTGCTCCTGGGGTACTCCAGCTTGTAAAACTAAAAAGACCATCAGGAACAGGGCCATACATCATCAGCAGGGATGCAAGGGCCTTAATACTGGGGAACCAGGAAAGTGGAGAAAAAACTCTGGAAGAGGAAACCCCAAGTGAGCTTCCTTTCCCTTACCTGAACTCCCTTTCCCCCAACCTTGTGAAATATGAGAGACTAAGCTTAGTGCCAGAAACTAAGCACATGTCAGAGGGTCTGGAGGCAAGGTTAAAGTACTAAATCACTTTGTAGAAAAGGGAATTTGGGAAAGAATGCCCTAAATGTTTGCAAAGGAGAAAGTTTGCATTGAGCCTTGTCACTTACTTTAAAATATATGGGAGAAAAGGGCACTGGGGCGATGGGGAGACAGGAAACCACTTGGGTATGGGGTATTTGTGGGAGTGTGTTACAACAACCATGCATTCATACATTCATCTAAGTGTGTATTTGAGAAACACATTCCAGAGAGAGCAGTAAAGATAGGGATCTTGACTTGTCTCTCTCTCTTTTTTTTTTTTTTTTCATTGGGTTTGGGCTTAGCCCCATTCAAGACATCATGGCATCTTTATTATGAAAACAACCTGCCATTGGAATCAAGACCTTCGTGAGACCCAAGAAATTCTATATTGTGCGATTGCTACAAGTACCATGATGGCTCTTGCAGTCACTACAATGTGTTTGCATGTTTTGTGTTAACCAAAAGTTAATTCAAAATACACAAAACATACAAACACATTGTATATTTTTGTATACTTGCTGGTCCACTGACTCACCAAGTTTTGTGTGTGATGGTACATGTTCATTCGATTCAATGACAATTCTATAATGCAGATGTTATTGTTATTATTTTACAGGTGAAGAAACAAGAGGTGATAGAAGCTAAGTAAACTTCCCAGTGCTGCACAGTTAATAAACAACAGTGGCAGGATCCAAACCCAATGTCCAAGAGTATCCTTACCACTTTAATTCTTAAGGATAAGCAAGGAGCCACCATATTGTACTTGCTTGTTATCCATGCTGACTCTCTTAGCCTTCTGACACTGCATTCAATGTTGAGATGAGCCACTTGGCTTGAGGAAAATTCTACGGAAGGTTGTCATTATGGAAAGCCTCTGTCCAGTTCTTCCGCATTCCCTAAACATACCTGAAGGCTGAGCTGAGGAATGCTGGCCACTAGAAGGACTAGCTAGAGATCTGAAATATTAGCACAAACTCTTCACCATTCCAGAACATGCATGTTGTAATAGAGGGTGGAGGGCCATGGATTCTTGCTGGCTGTGAGCACTTGAGTCTTATTTTCCTTTTTTGGAAATCTGCCCATCGATAACCAGTCATCAAGCAAGGAACCAATTCTGCAAACCTATGATATGTTCACCAATGAGTTAAGCCTTGAAAGGAGACTGAACAGGCTTTCTAGAATGTACAAGATCAAAACTTTGCTTCAAAGACTTAAATAGTTTAGGCAGCAGTCACTTGGAAGATACAGAAAAGAAAGAGAATTCTTTGAAACGATGATGCAATTATGTTTTTGTCTTTGAAGACAGTCTTTGGGTGATCAGTTTAGCACAACAAATATGCACCGAATTCATGGGATTTTGTTTTCTTTTTTGAGGGGAAGGGAATGAATATGTATGTGGAGCTCTGTAAATCTGTATTGTAAATTAGATTCCTTTTGGTATAATATTTGATATGACTTCTTGGATAAGTGAAATATGTATTCAGCCAAATATTAAAGGGTAAAGTAAATAATTCCAAGTTACTAAGGTTCTGCCATTTGCATGGATTTCATTCTCTCATCTGTTGAAATATTTATGTCTTATAAATTAACGTGTTTCAGTCTGCCTCCTCCTATCCCAACCCCAACACCGTCAGCACCAATTCCTGTCTCTGGTTTGGAAACGTGGAATCTAAAGCGGCAGACTTCTGTTTTGAATTGTCTTTCCACTGATCCTCATGACATTCCATTGTTCTTCCAAGGCCCCTGGATAAGGCCCAGAAAAGAACAGAAAGGGATAATGGCAACTGCTGATGCAAGAAGATTGTTCTGCTTCAGTTTTTATTTTATTTTAGATGTACTCCTCCTCCACAATGCAGTTCTCAAACATCATCTAATGAAAGCCGCCTGTTCTCAGCCCTCCTAGAATTTCAAGATGGGCACACTTACAACCCGGATGAGCTCTAACATGTACCGTATTCATGTGAATACAAGGTGATTTTTTAAATAGGAAAATGAAACTCTAAATCTACAATATACTTCATAATGACAGATTTACAAATAGGTCCCTAAGTCCTACGCAGCTGCCTCCTGCTGGATTTTGGGCACATTGTCACCCCAGAAGGGGAGGGAGCTAGGGGCTAGAAAACTCCCAGAGGAAAGGCAAGAGAGTGAGAACTTTACTTCTTAAGGACAAGCAAGGAGACACCGCAAGCGTTTTTTGATAATATATATAGTTTTTCTG